TTTATAGTGATCTCTTCTCAGGGTGGGTAGCTTAAAAAAGTATTCAGTGCTTCAGACAGAAAATAGCCAACTGTTGTACCAAGGTCTGATTTTATTTTGGAACTTTTTTGGACACATCAAAGAATCCATTGAAAAGGCAAGACCCCCATCTCCTGGGACATTGCTGCCCTAAAAATGAGAAGCTGGTCTTGCAAAACACACAGCCTTGAGCTTGTCCTTCATTTGTCCCTGCCAGCTGTGTGAATGGGAAGGGGAGCAGTGAAGTCTGAAGCATCCCATTCATATATACGGCATGGTACTTTCTGCTTTTGACTACTCTGCTTGGAAAACACTGTTGGATTGTGCAGTCAAGGGTTATTACCAGGCATCTAATCCCACCCTCCCAGTGGGGAAGCCCAAGGGACAGATTTATAGCTAGGCGAGAGGGTAAGATACCTGTTTAGATATTTATAACTGCCCTTTTTTGTTTTATAGCTAGGTCTTAGCAAACAGCCATCCTCACCTTCCCCCGCCCCCTCATCCTTCATTTCCGCTGAAATATTTCATCATTTCACAGGGAATAAAGTTTCCAGCAAAGCAAATGCAAACCCACTCCCTTGGCTGAGCACTTTGAAATTGAATGCGGTGTGTTTGAAGAGCTGCTCCAAACTGGTCGCCCAATACAGGTCCCCTTCAGATCACACCATGGCAGGAAGTGCAATCAGCTTTCCTGAATGACAGTTTCATTAGGCTATGATCGGTGCTTTTCATTCCCTCACCCTGCTTTTTAATGCTGCTTTTAAAAACCAAGATAATGAATAACATTCCTCTTATATAGCCAAGTCAGTCCTAATGAAGATTGCCTTGTCCGCAAGATCAAAGGCTGGAGAAGAGAGTGCAGTTAACTTTTAACTATCAGTTATTTATCTGCTATTTAAAAAGATTAGCAAATAAAGTACTGCACAATGATTTTGTAGATGACTAGCCTAATAAACATGGCAACAGAATGAGAAAAATGAACCTATGTGTGTATATTGCACACTTTGGTTGTGATAGCACTTCATAAGTGCAGAATTTAGTGTCTAGTTGCAGAATTCAGCATTCTGAAAAAAATGCTGAAATAAGTAAACCTTAATTCAAAAATAAACCCCTGCAACTGTAGAGAAAGGCTTGAAAATTGCATGGACAAAACTGCAATTTTGGAAGATCGAACAGACATTTCAGTAAAGTATTCATAGCTCATTGGCAGAAATCATACTTATAAAGTCTGAAAGACTATCTTCAAAGTGCTGTGCAAGGTCATCATAGCAAACTACCAAGGACTCCACAATTCCTTTGCATAATTTGTTTGGGAGTTAACTGTGAATTACTGTGAACCACCCAGATAGCTTCAGCGCGTATTGGGGCAGTATAGAAATAGATAAATAATGTGGTTGATCCACTGCGAGTAAAGAACATAATAATACATGCACTAGTAGGCCTTAAGGTTGCCTAGAGCATACTACAGGTCTAAAATATGGATGTGACTGGAGATTGCAGGAAGATAAGCTTCCTATTGTACAATGTTCTGTACTAATAGAATCTGTAATATGAAATTGCCTGAGAGCTTCTCAACTAAGCTGGCTCTTTAATTTCCAGATTTTGGATATGCAATAACTTTCTGAGCAGATATTGGCCATATGTGATGAGAAAGTGCTGCTGATGGGATTCCTAATCCTCTTGAGCTTCATAAATATAATAGACAGTGGACTTCAAATTGTATTGTTTGACTGGTCTCTGAAGCAAACTATATTTTGTTTATGGATAGACTAACTTTTTGCAAAGCCTCTCATCTTCCCATACATGGGCTGATTTCTAAGAGCAGAGTAAATGGAACTCAGAATCTGGCTCCAGAGGGCAGAGTTAATAGGCAGCTTATTTACTACTTTGCTGTATTGTCAAGTAACTGGCCAATTTTCCATGTATTCTAACCCAACTGAGCTGAAATTTGTAGCAAAGATAGACTTGGGCCCCTTAGTAATCCTGTTCTTCTCAGGCTGTGATTTTACAGTAAACATGGCAGCAGCGAACAGGACTAGACTCTGGGAGCTTTTGGAGGGGCATTGTCCTGCCTTCTGTGGTGACCTTTCTAGGATTTCAGGATGGGAGGTTTTGCAACCACCATTCCCCAACCAGTGACTCTCCAGACTGAGTTGTACTATAACTCCAGGAATTGGCTGGAAGATTATGGGTCCTGTAGTCCAATCCACCTGGAGGGTACTAAGTTGAGAAGGCTGTTCTATAATCTGCTATTTTCCTGAATCCACCAACTGTGACCGCCACTGGTTTTCCCTGACCTGGCAAGCCTATAAGGACTTTCAGGGGAGCCATGGCCATAGCCCAGCTGTGTTTAACTGGCCCCTACTCCATGCCTTGCTTTCTTGCCATGTGCTTGCTGGATAGTCGAGCCCTGGGGAGTCACCTCCTATGTTCTGCTCTGTTTTCTGTCTTTCTAAGGCACCTGCCTAATCCTCAGCATAAAAACAGTTGGTGCAAAAATCTTGATTGGTCTTGAATGCCTTACAGAAAGCACGAGAGCAATGGATTCAACCGTCTCCTCCCTGTGAGGTTTTGAGCAAGGTCACTGAGTGTGCCATGGCCAGAATACTAGTGTGAGTGGTGTTGAGAATAACAGGGTGGGGGACTGTTTGGTGTACATCTGAAAAAGAAAAAGAAACATAATTATCTGGGACTGGCCATGCTGACCATATAGAAAACATTCTCTGTTGCGGAAGAAAGTAGATAACACCCAACTCACTGGCCCGAATGCCCTGTGGAGTGAGCAAAGCTAATTTTCCCAAATTTGTTTGATGAGAACAAGAGATGGAATTACTCTTCACAGCAAACTGTGCTCGGAATGGTGGTTTGACTCCAGGAGCAATCAATAGTGGAATGGACTATCTCTGTCAATTAAGTCTCTTTTTCATTTTCAGGGTGCATCTGTCTTTTCTCCACACTCTTGCCTGACTCTGGGATTTGGTTCTCATTAGACCTAACAAGCCAGCACTCAGACGCTATGACTCTCTCTCACTCCCTCTGGGATAATTTGTTCCACATGCTTGGTGTACACTGCCCAGTTTGCATGCTCTCTTGTGCTGCCAGCTTATTGAGCTTTGGTTTAGGTTTGTCCAATTAGCTGTTTCTCTGTATCCTTTACAAGTGCAAGGCATTAATGCGGGTCAACTCTGAGATGTCAGAGGAATAGCAGATGGTTCCAGGTCATCCTGTTCCTTTTGCAAACCTCACTCCATTTTCTTTAAGGAAGAGAACAGAACCTGAGACCTGGACACAGGTTCATTCCTTAGGAAGGTCCAGGGAATAGGCCAGAAGTCCAGGCTAGAAATCTATTTATTATTGTTTTTGGAGAAAAGCATCTTGCTTTGCACTGCTCAGAGTCCATTTCAGCCAATCCTTAATCACAATGGTTAATCTGAACTGACATGTTTGGAAATTGCTTTACTGCCACTGAGCAAACTCAAGATCTGTCTGGTCAATAATGTCCAGAAACAGGGTTTTGGTTTGCTAGTATTTCTGGATGATTTGGTTGAACTTCATACATGGGTGCATAGCATAGCATCTTTCCTTAGTTTCTACAGCAACACTTCCTGGCTTCAGATCGGCAAACCACTTTTTATATGGTGTTGCTTAAAAAGTGTTTTGCAGTGCCATTTTGCAATGGCAGGATCTGAATCAAAACCTCAAGAAAAGCTTTGACTATTTGTATAGTATACCATTGTCCAATGTAGATCATGATGTGGCTGTCTGAGAGTTATCAGTTAAGCTACCAGTCCAATTATCTGGAACATGCAGTTCTTGCAGGAGGTACATTTTCAAGGAAGCAAATTTGTATTTTTGCTGGGATATAGATATGTGATACCATCCATACATATGAAGACATGAACTGTGTGCATCAGGTCTTAAACCACTAATATCAGCAGGGTTCCAAATCAAATTTTGCTTATCATGAGAAAGGCATTTTAGCCTAAGAAATGGGGAATACCTTAGCAATTAGCTGGGCTCTATTAAACTCACACCCTGCAACGTTCATTAGGTTACAATCCACACCTACTTGGAAATAGTATCATTGAATTCAGCTCGCCAAATGTTCTTCTGGGTAACCATCCACAAGCTTGGGCTATTAACCACTTTGAAATGCCATGTAGGCTCTTATAATTGGCTGGAGTAGTCAGATCTACACAGGCCTACACCTGTTAAAAGAAATTTATAACCAAGAACTAGTGCCTGAAATTGCTTTTTCCTCCTCCCTCCCCATCCCTTTTTCTTTTGTATTGTTTTTTATATTGTAAGCCTGACAGCTGGGATTGTCTTACTACTGATCTGTGCAAGCTGTTCTTAGGAGCCTCTTTTGACTACAGAGTGATGTAAAATGTTTCAGATAAATAAGTTTCCAAATGAAACACAAATAAGAAGATACTCTGTAGCTTTGGGCTCCCATATGCTGTCATTTGTTCTCTTGAAGCACATACTTTATTCATAGCTAGCTGAAGCTTTACTTTCCGCTATTTTTCTTGTTGTTGAACAGTCAGGTTGCTTTATGTGCATGCTCCCATATAGCTCTCCTTTGTTCTGTTTTCTATGATAAACACTTTTAAAGCTTATTTTACACCTACCTTGAGAAAACGGTTTAAGTACTAATTAAGTTAAGTACTAATTTGCTTTCTTTTCTTCCTTGTCCTTTTTATTCTCAGCCTATTCCCTGAATACCCACAAATTCATTTCTAGTGAAGTCAGAATTATGCTAATGGACAGAAAGGACATAACGGTTGGTCAACAAAAAAGAAATGATTACAAATTGATCAGCTGGGCAAATGATATGATTTTAGCCAGAATTGTGGGGGGAGAGGGGAAGGGATCACTGCAAATTTGTGACTCATCTGTGCATTGGGAATATTTACATTTTTTAAAAGCCAAACTCCTTGCTGGATACTGTTTCTAAACCACTTTTTTATAATGTTAAACAGGGGAGAGGCACCTCCAGCAGCACGTTACCCCCCAGACGTTTTCTAATGGTAAATATTTTTGTTCTCTATCTCTATAAGGAGTTTTAACTGTAGCGCATTTTGTCTTCGGAATATAACTGGGCACAGGGGCCTGAGCTGTCATACTAACTGCATGCCTCACCTTACATGGTAGATGATAGGGCAGAAAGGCCATTAAAAGCAGCATTGGTGCTTACTAACTATCTAACCTGCCCCACCTCTGCCACTTCTAGATCCTTATATTGCCCTTGTAATCTGCATGGTCCCACCTACCAGAAAAGAGTGGATAGGCTTGGAGCTGCCTGAATGGTGGAGAACGAGTCATAGGCTAACAGAATTGTCCCTGAAGGAACAGAACATGTTATGGAATGTTGGGCTACAAATGACTGCCTGCTTTGCTTCTGTTAATAGCTTGTTCTTTTGCTTGAAATATAATCACCTGCTTTTAGGGGAAAGGGGCAGTGTGTGTTCTATAATTTGTTTCTATATTGTGGGATCTCTAAAGCAGTCATCCAGACTATCCATTCTATCCAGGAATATCCAGAAGCATGTCTGACTCTGTGAGATACTTCTCTGGTCTTTGTCACTACAGTATCAAAACTCTGTGGCAGTCTTTAACAAACCCTGAATGTGTGCAAGTGTAGCATTATTTCTTAAATGGAAAAACAAGACAACAAGGGATCCAGTGACTTGCCTAAGACTGCATTGAGAATTTGTGGTACAGCCAGATGCAGAGCCAGTATGTACTCTATTTGGGAAGCTTGCTTTGAGTTTATCCTTCTAATTACTGCCAGACATTACAATAAACACTGGGTTGTGTTCTGCCTAATGGAAGGGTAGTGAATAACTAGAAAAAAAAACTAGAATAACTAACAGACCTTCTGGATAAGGATGGGGAACTCTACCTTGTCACTGTGGGCATTACATCCATGTTAAATGAAAGGAGCCTGAAGCTAACTTTGAAGTTGGCTTCAGTATTGCATAGGACATGCTGTGGCCATCTCCGTTTAATCCTTCCTACCACTTTTGGTAATGGTGGGTTTGCTCTAATGCAAATCTTTGTGTGTGGCCCTGAAGCCTAGGCAGAAGAATAAGGCCGAGCTAAGTGCATCATTACTTTCTTCTTCCATGGGGGTACACATGAGAAGAAATACTATGTGACTGGTAGAAGTTCTGCCAGAAAACTGCTTTCTACTGTGTTGTCTTGTTTTGCAATGGGAGAGTTGAGGTAGGAGCTGAGCACTGGGATGAATTTGAAGCAGACCTTGGATGAAGGCAAAAGGAATCCTGTTTCATCTCTCCCAGATGACAGAGACAACATCTGCAGAGACCAAAGGGCCTTGCAGTTTTTTCCATAGTAAGCAAAACTCTGCAAAACAGGGTGGTAGCACAATGGGTGATAAACAACTGTCTTTCATACAGGCTGGACATGTTGCATATTCTTCTAAAAATCCTTCCAGATGATAGTAATCCATTTCATTACTCCTTGGTACTTGATGTTTCCCACCAGACATGCACAGCCTTTGCCTCAAATGGTGGTCAGTATTCCTTGTCATGTGTCAGTCATGCTTTCCCATATTTGAAGTGAAGAGTACACAGAGAAAGCACATTTTCCAGGTTCTGATACCACCCTTTTCATTGCGGACTTACGGTGTATAAGCATTTCTCTTCCCTATGCATCATAAGAATGCTGAGATTTGATCTGATTCTACCCTCCCTCTCACTGTGCTACTTGGACCACCCAGTGCCCATTTAAATCAGGACAGCAGTCCTGCATTTCCTCTGAGAAGATACCTTTGTTTGTTGTGGTGGTACCAGCATGGCAACCCATTGACAGGCTGAATAAGTTCATGAAGCAACATGGATTTGTCATATGATTCTAGATCATCATTTTGCTCTTTTGGGCCAGCAAATAAAAATATAGATTGAGCTCTAGTGCTGCTTCCAGGAAGTAGTTGCAGAAAAGCAACCAACTACTGGGACATATTTCACATGTCTCTTTAGCCCAGACAACATTTGGTGGGATTTCATCATAGTCACTAAAATGGTGAGATCTGTAAATGTGAAAATAAAATGTGTCATGCTGGAACACATATTGATGAAGATACTGATGGAAGGTGGAAAGAACATGGCACAACATATGCTCACTTTATCAAGGAACAGCTTTCTTGTGCAAAAATGAGGTGATACATGTGTTGCCAAGGAAATGAAAGCACAGGATATTGCAATCTGTAAATCATACAATTGTAAGTAGCTGAAATGATTGCCATGCAGCAAATGTGACTTTTGCTCTTAGAAATGATCTTCTGGACGTACACTTTCTCTTGGCATCTCTGGTTACTATTCAGCAAATAAACTGCAGCCTAATTCCATCATAAATTTCTTTCTTCTCAAGGGCTGTATATTTTATTTTTTTTTTAAACTTATATCCACATTTTTTTTCTGAATGAACGAAGTTTGGGTTGCATAAAATATAAAACAAACAATGACCTAAAGTAATAACAAAGGTACAGCAGCATGTAATATTTCTTTCTTAGCTTTGTTCCAACATCTCTGCTCTTTAAGAAACCTTCTGTGGGCTTTTGTTTATTCTTTCTGCTGGGTCTTTTAAGCAGAATACTGTTCGGCTTCCTTGCTCTGTCATGCTTTCAGCTTCAAATTATTAGGGTGAATAGCTTAGCTATCCACATCCATTCCAATAGCTGTTGCTTTTGCTCAAAATCAATCTCTCAAAATTTTCAAGACAGGATGGACAACACAGAAAACACATTGAAGAACTCCACAGGCAGACATTAAAATTAATTTAGCCCTGTCAGTTACCACAATGGCTTTGTTTTAAATAATTTGAGGTGCAGTCCTATGCATTTTTAGACCAAAATAGTCCTGTAACTCCCAGCGTGCCACAGCCAGCCTAATCATGCATAGGATTGGGGCCTTTTAAATGCCAGATTTTATCTGCTCCCTGTGATAACACTGTTGCTGCCATTTAGCAGATGGGGAACAAAGGCTGAAAGTTACTGACTTGCTTATAAAAGAGGGAGGACTAGAACCAAAGTTCTCTGCATGCTAGCTCATTTCTCTTGTCTCCTGAGCAATATTGATTCTGATACAATGCCACAAACAACTTTTTAGGCATTGTCCTTGTGCTGTGCTAGTAAGCCTTTTCAGTGCAAAATCATACCACTGGATTTCTGTAGGGTGAATGTCAACTTGGGGGGACTTTGAGCTGAAAGTCTGGCAAGGGAAGGGATAAGGTCATTCTAAGGAAGACAAGAAGCTGCCTCATACCCAGTCAGGCCATTGGTCCACCAGTATTGTCAACACTGACTGGCAGTGGCTCTGTAGGGTTTCAGGCAAAATCTTTTTCCATCCTTGCTAGCGATGCCAGGAACTGAAATTAGAACTTTCTACAGGCAGAGCATGTGTTCTACCACTGAGCCATAATCTCCCCTCCCCTCCCCTCCCCTCCCCTCCCCTCCCCTTCTCCCATCTTGCACAGACTTGCTCCCAACAACACACTTCAGTGTTTCCTTATACACACATGGATGTAATGGCCAGTTATTTTGCATTCAAAATGCAAAACTAAAAATGATACACACAGAACTGTTCAAGATGGGTGCTTTTTATTTTTTTCAGTGATGGTTGTTCACGGAAATTACTTTTCTATGTGGCACTTTTATGCTGTTTCAACATAAAACTGGTCCTCCCTGCTGCAGAATTCAATCCACTCGTCAGACTGAGTCAGACACCTCCTTGTCTTGGCAGCTCAGGATGTTTAGTTTGACCATTTGTTCAGGCTGTAGAAACTCTCCCCACCCCTCCAACTTGCAGAAGTCTGTCTGAGTCTGTTAAACAACTCCATGTTCCATCCTGGGAGCCATTGCCTCTCAATAGTGAATGAGCTTTTTGTATACTGATTGCAGTGGTCTCTCTTCATCTGATCTAAAAATTGGCAAAATGTTTACAATTTGTACCCTAATGACTATGAATGAAAAGATGTCCTTTATAACACCATTCCTGGGCAAGAGGAATACTAAACACAGGCACTAGGGATGCTAATCCTGAAGGTCATGCCTAGGAGCAGAATGGACTGAAAGTAGGACATAGCCTTAGTTCTTGAGACAATACACCTGTGCCAAGCCCACTTCAGACTTGATTGGGAACTTGCACAATATTCCTCATCGTCCGAAAACCAAGCAGTTAAAAAACAACAACAACCAGTTGTTGGAAAGAACACAAATCTAGATTTTTTACCAGCACACCAGTTTTCTGTGTATAGCAATGTGGGTTTTGCTTTGTTTTTGTTTTTTTCCTCATGCGGAATTGATTCTGTATCTAAGCTCCCATCTGCAGTTTCTGAAGTCTGAATATAAGAAGTCTGAATATAAATTCATCAGTTCATTGAGAACCAGGCCATCATGCTTGTTTTCCAGGTTCCCATAGAGCAGAGAAAGGAACTGAATGCCCAAGAAGTTGTTATAACACACAAGGATATTTTTGTCTACTGGTAGGTAAGGTGATTGGAGCACACTACAGTGACTGTATAGCAATCAGGAAGAAGACTGCTGTGCTTCTCAATGGACTTTGATTAAGACAACACCTGTGGATGCCCAGTGTGGTTCAGTGACTTGTGTTTATTCATTTAGGTCTGAAGAACATTTCTCAATCACTCATGGTACATATCACCACAAAACAATACAAACTGTATCACATTTGCCATCTCTTACTTTTGAAAGATTAGCTGTAATAATTTGTAGCAGATTCTTTTGCATCTTAGAGTCTAACTGGATTATTGTAATGTGAACTTTTAGCAACAGGCAACTTCCTTTGAGGTCTCCTCTTTTTGTGCATATTGTTGCTTGTCTTTATTAGTTTGCAATATTTTCTTATCCTATATGGCTCATTAGTTCATCTCACAACAAAAAGAGGTTAAGAGCAGCTTGTAAGGTTTCTTAATCTGCTGCATAAAATATTTATTTATATGAAGTGGTGACATATGAAACATAGAAATGGAGCAAGTCAGAAGGGTC